GAGAGAGAGAGAGAGAGAGAGAGAGAGAGAGAGAGAGAGAGAGAGAGAGAGAGAGAGATTCTGTGTGTGTGTGTGTGTGTGTGTGTGTGTGGTAAGAATACAAGACCCCAGCGAAAAAACTTCACACCAGATGACCTTCTCCAAAACCGCACATCGCAAGGCTATGTGCAGCCAAACATTAGTCCAAGATGCCAACGTACAAACGGACTTCAGACTTCAATGACACATCAAGGCAGACATTAAGATTCAATTTGACAGTTGAGAGAGGAAGTGTGAGGCGAGAGGACAGACAAACAACAGCAACAGCAAGGACCAAAGGCTGGAGAGTACAGGGGAGGTGGGTGGGCAGACAACCAGCAATAGGCAACAACTGGGTGGACGGGACAGAGAAACCGGAAGAACACCGACAAGCCACGAAGCAACAGGGCACGACAACACACAAACACACAATCCACCAAGAAAAAGGAAAAAATACAAGCCCAAGAAATGCAGAGACCGAAAAAAATAAAACTGATCATGAAAGATTGTTTCGTCGGAGTTGCACCGACTCGTCAGGAGGCTGAACCCTCGACAATCTGCAGGATCTCCGTATTTGATGGTTTGGGTCATGAACCGTCTGACCCATGGGCCACGGTGAAGGCAGAGTCAGCAGACTGTCCCCAAGCGGAACATAGCAGTGGGCAGCAACCCTGTGGAGCACCAGGCAACGCAGTAGAGGCAACACGGCTTCACAACCCCCAAAACGACTGCAAGGAACGACATGGCACGCAGGGCATGCAGCGCGACAACCGTGTACTGAAGCACAAGACAACAGAAGCAACGCAACCACACTGTAAGGGACGACAGGGCGATCGGACCAGCAGCTCCGGAACCGTGGGGCGGAGCACAAGGCACCAGCAACAAGGCAACCAGCCTACAAGGCACACAAGCAGCAAACACGGAAGGCACGGCCAGGGGATGGGCAGCAAGGCAGAAAGACAGCGGAGGAGCGAGGCGCAAGGAGGCGCAAGGCAACACCGACAACACGGCCACACCAAACAACGAACAGAGCAACTTGCAGAGAACCACGTGCGAAGCAAGCGGGACAGGCAGCAAGGCGGCGGTGGAGCGCAGACGAGGCAGTCCACACATCCAACACGGAGCAAAGCAGCACATGACCTACTCTCATCATGATTGAACCCCGCAGACTGTTGGTTCCCACCACCCACTGAGGGAGGGAGTCACTCCGACGAGCATCCGTCAGCACCCACAGGCAACACAGACATCCTGAACTGAGCGGGTCCCCCATAAGAGTGCAGTAGGCACTCCAAACGAGGAACCACCGACTGTTTGGCACTACTTAAGGGTGCTCAGTTGGGTAAGTAAAAATACTTGGAAAAATTTCGAGGAAGAATAGAAGGAAAAAAATAGAGGAAGAGCAGACAGCAAGAGGAAAACAAACAGACATTAAACTGATTGTGTGTGTGTGTGTGTGTGTGTGTGTGTGTGTGTGTGTGTGTGTGTGTGTGTGTGTGTGTGTGTGTGTGATGGTGATCTGTGGACATTTCTAACCAAGATACTCTGCAATAGTAAACAAAAGTTCCAAAAGCGGACATTTCAGAGAAATTTCAGAGAAATTGCTCCACAGATTGTGGACATTTTAGAGAAAGTGAAGAATGAAGAATGACAAAATAGTAAAATACAAAAATGGCCATTAGGAGCATGACAAAATAGTTAAACACAAAAATGGCCATAAGGAGCATGAGTGGTAGAAGACAAGAAGGAATTCAATGCTCTTTCAGTGAACAGACGCAGGCAACTGACCAATCCATTCATCCATTCATCCACTGATCCATTGCTCCAGCCTGGCTCCACTACATAACACTCTACAATGTCTACATGCATTTGGATGTCTTCTGGACAACATACACTTGAACAAATCGAAGTCGGAATTGCAGTCAGATACATTTAGGAAAGCACTTGTGTGAGGAAGACCTCAGTCTGTCGATGACGTTTTTTTTGCTGCATTCTTTTCTTTGGGCGGTTTTTGATGCGAGTGAGCCGAGGTACAGCTTGCAGGGTGTCGGTACCCCTTATCTTTGGGCCTCTCTCCACTACACAACACTCTACATGCATTTTGACGCTTTCTGGACCAGGCACATTTGGACAAGTACAACATTCTGAACGTATCGGTTCCAGAAATCGTCCAAATGCATGCGTAGTGTTGTCTAGTGGAGCGAGGGCTTTTCACTAAGACTGAGAGCACAGAGCCAAAGTTTCTGAGAACCATATGTGCGCCGGGACCACCACTGCAACAGTTTTCTAGCCTCCTACCCAACCAACTGCTGAACTTCCTATAGCGTCTGTTCTGGGACCACCACCTCACCAGTTTTGACTAAGACTCAGAGCACAGAGCCAAAATTTCTGAGAACCATGTCTGCGCTGGGACCACCACTGCACCAGTTTTCACTAAGACTGAGAGCACAGAGCCAACGTTCTGAGAACCATGTCTGCGCTGGGACCACCACTGCACCAGTTTTCACTAAGACTGAGAGCACAGAGCCGAAGTTTCTGAGAACCATGTCTGCGCTGGGACCACCACCTGTCTCTTATACACATCTAGATGTGTATAAGAGACAGCTMTATAGATCATCAACCGGGGCCTGGGAACAGACCATAGATGGGAACATACTATAGATCCTCAACCAGGGCCTGGGACGATACTAAAGAAAGGAGCGTACAGTACAGCCGACCAACCAGGGCCTAGGACTATACTAAGGAAGGGAGCCGACTATGGATCACCAACCAGGGCCTGGGAGCATCCTATAGAAAAAGGCAGCATCCTTTAGAAAAGGCAGCATCCTATAGTAGGGATCACCCATCAGGCCCTGGGAGCATACTATAGATCATCAACCAGGGAGCATACTACTAGTAGTATAGAGCCAAAGTTTCACTATAGATCACCCATCACCAGTTTTCACTAAGACTGAGAGCACAGAGCCGAAGTCTCTGAGAACTATGTGTGAACTGGGCCTGGGAGCATACTACTAGTAGTATAGATCCTCAACCAGGGCCTGGAAAGGACTCTGCAACCTCATTCTCAAAGTGTTAATCTCAACCAGGGCCTGGTCAGGACTCTGCATCATCCTCATTCTGAAAGTGTTAATCTGTAGATGGAAAAGCTAGTGCTGCTGAGGATGATCGGAAGAACTGTGCATCCTGTGCATGATGAAGACGAGGCCGGCATTTGTCAGCCGCATCACTTGCTTGCCCCCCCCATTATTACAGTATGATAAAGATTAAGCCAACGAAGTCCTTGTCGGAGGGAGCCTGATCAGAGGTAGATAATGGATAATGATCTATTATTTCTAGCCTCTCAATCTATTTGCGTAAAGTGGGAGAGCTATGCATTGATCCATGGCTTCCAGCAAATCTCGTTCCGTAATGTTATCTTCAATGCTCCTTTTGACATGTTCGTAGACATTAAACCCATTGGGAGTGGTTCTATCGGGTCTTATCCTCATGAAGTGCCAAGATTGCTCGTGATTGTTCCACGAACATTCAATGATCTTTCCCGCCAGATTCGACATATGAATATCGCCGCCGCCTTCCCCGGCCTTGAGCGAGATCTTGACATTCTCAAGAGCAAGAACTTTCCCGCCTTTTCCCATCACATGCAACGTGGGCAGCACGTCCTTATCCTCATCCTCCTTATCCTTAACCTTATCCATTGTCAGAAGGAAATCAACGGTGTTGAGATGAGCATACTTCCACTTGAGAAGGCCGTAATGAGCGTACGGAACGTACGACTCATCTGCGCACTGAAAGATGAGACCCTCAGATCGATGACTTAAGCTTTTCACGAAATCTCCACGAAGAAGATCCTTTATCCCCGTGATTGGCCAGAACTGCTTGCAGCACACTCGAAACGGTTCGGCGTCGTAATCAGTCATACACTGCAGAAGATCTACTCCTCTATCCTCCTTAATCGCTCGCTTGCTGTTCAATTGCTGCTCCTCTCGTCGGGGCAGCACGATCTCCTCCTCTATCCTTCTCAATCGCTCGCTGAAGGGTGAGTTTACTACGGGAAGACCATCGATCATCATCAAGTCAAACGCCAAGCACGTCCTCGTCTTCTTCCCCGTCTGCGGGTCTACGTCAACGACCATCTCCACGTCCAGAAGCGTGGAGGAGTGAGTGTCATCGACGAGGCAATCTTTCCTGCTCCTGTTCTTCCCTCTCCGAAGAGGAAGAGGGAATCGCATCTGCACACGTCGTACGGGGAAGCAGCTATGGATCAAATAGACGCCATGGCTCATAATCAGTAGCAAGTAACGAGTGCCGTCAGCTTTCCACGTCACTTGGTAATACTTCATCTTCAGAAGCTGCAGATTCTGTCGATCTAAGGAAACAGGATAAGAGCCAGGAAATCGAATACGCACTCCTCCTCCTCCTCTTCCTCCTCTTCCTCCTCCTCCTCCTCCTCCGGTGCTACTATGGAGTGTTTGCGGAGGAACGCCCAGGGCCCAACAACAGAGCTGCCGAAGCTCGACCGCCTGCTCCTCAGGAATAACCTCTCCGAACACGTCATCGCTGAGCATTTGCGTTGCTGCCCCCCCTCCTCCCCCTCCCCCTCCCCCACCTTGCATATCCTCCTCCTCTTCCTCCTCCTCCTGCTGCTCCTGCTGCTGCTGCTCTTCTCCATCATCGTCGTCGTCGCTCCTCTTCCAGTCTGGCTTCGGTGGGAACTCGATCGATTCCACCCCTCTCTGATGGTAATTAGCGAACAACGCTCTGATGTACTCAGCCTTGTAGATGCCTGCAGGCCTAGCCCGGGCAAACGCCTTGAGGTGCTCCTCCACACTCCCTCCCACCGTCCTTAGCAAGTAATTGATGATCATATAACCCGTCCGATTAAACCCGTGTGTGCAGTATACGACCACGTAGGCCTCCTGTTTGCATGGCTGCCGCACCTGCTGGTACGTACACCCTTCTCCTCTTCCACCTCCTCCGCCTACTCCTCCCCCTACTCTTCCCAATCTCCCGCCACCTCCTCCTCCTCCTCCACCTCCTCCTCCTCCTCCTCCTCCTCCTCCTCCTAGCCCTTGCCCTCTTCCCGATGGACTTGCAAAATACTGCAGCAGCTCAAAAACAAAACGATTAACAGAGTCGGGATCGGGTGTCTGCCCCCACCCTCTGCAGGGTATCTTCAAGTACTTCACACCGTGACACGTCCACTCCCTCTCCGTGCAGTATCTTGTCGTACTCGTCAGATCCACCACAAGTCGAACTGTCCTCGAGCTCGCCCTCTGCTCCTGAAGCAGAATTGCAGGCGTGAAAAGCCTCCCGGGCTCTATCGAGGAGCCCCTGAAAGCCTCACCCAGCGGGGCTTTACACGGTATTATTCGCCCCAGCGGCTCTCCGAAGGAGGGGCAATCTACCCATCCTTCTGGCACACGTCCTACACGATTACTTGATGACGTCATCGATTGTATTTTTCGTTTGTAATTTCTTTAGCCCAGAACGCTGAGTAAAACAACGAGGAGGAGGAGGAGGAGGAGGAGGAGGAGGAGACAGACGTGGCAACGACTGGAGCAAGGGAGAAGACAGAGGGATACGAGCGCTCAGCACACACGCTTCATTCAAGCTCCCCAAACCACCAGCACTTCAACACGTGTACATCACTCGAGTATCCCGCCACCTCAGTCCCAAGCCAAGAAGGAAACACACAGCCATCATCCTCAACAAGTTTCTGTCGGCTCGCACCGACTCATCAGGCGGTACTCCAAAGAGCTTCTGTTGCAGGAGGCTGAGGAGGGCGAACATACATGCCTTGCTCTCCGGTCTAAGCACGTTGTTTTTTTTGTTTTGTTTTTTTGTTTTTTCCCTCGTTCCACACCACTTGAGTTCAAGTGCGACGAGAAAAATCGTCGTTGCACCCCGCCCGCCCTACAGTAGAGAAATGGCTTTCTGTTTTCAAATTCAAATTTGCATCTCCAGTGGGCGCTCTTGAAACTCTAGTGCGGCCCAGCCAAAGGGCCAGCCAGCTGCACTACTCTCGAAATGTGGAAAACGAGAGTGAATCTTCGGCTAGAATATGGAAAGATACATCGCCATGATTTTTGTCTTTTGTGCATGTCGAGAGTAGTGCAGCGAGGCCTAAAATCGCGCTTGAGTTCGAGTCACCTCCCCGAGGTGCCTTGAATTCAAGAGCCGACCTGGAGGGAGATCCCACTACCCATGGATTTGGATTAGTGTGACGGGGGTGGGACGGGTGGGGGACAGAGGTGGGTGGCAGCGTGAAATAGGGAAAATAAATGCAAAAAAGCCATTTGATGACCAAACAAATGAAGGAATAAAATCAAAAAAAGAAAAGAAAGCGCTCTTCTCACAGATGGTGTCTGCTCCAGCCGGGGTGTCAAATGTCAGGGCATGATTCACTGACCATGGCTTGGCAGTCGAGCTAACTGCATGTGAGCCGGCACATGGACCATATTCATTGACAATACTCTGAGGCTTCCGTGAAATGGCCACATTGCATGTTACTGGGTTGTTCTGACATAACTTCTCTTTGACAAAGGAGGGCAAGAGTGATTGCATACAGCACTTGCTGTAGGTGAGAGGATCGAAACCTCCAAATTACCTCCGAAACCACAATCACTTCTGCCTGTTCAGCCACGGACCGATTTTCTTTTTCTGTTGTGTTTTTTTTACGCCGCGCGTTCCTGGTTCATGCACAGTCCTCCTTGCCGTCCAGCCAGTAAAAGGTACCGGTGGGGGGTACAGGGTGCCAGCCGTGGAACCATGGAGGGTGGTGCCTGCGGATTCCAGAGAGATGCTGGGGCAACCGTGCCCATTTCCGCGGGCGGAGTGTTTGGCAGGGGGTGATTTGAAACGGCTTGCAGAGGAGGCACATGTAGCCGTTGGGCTTGGAGGTGCGCGGGCGGCGGATGGACGATCATGCCGCGCTCTACACACCGGTACAGGACAAGCATCATCCACCCTTGTTGAATAGCGGTGATTGAACATGCTTGTGCCAATCTCCATTGTTGTTTCCTGTCGTATGCGGTGTGCTGCCACATGCATGGCAGACCATGTAAGGAAGGTGACGCTACTTTGTGTCCTCCTCCTTCTCCTGCTCCTCGTGGTACTGCTGCATCTGTGCTCTTTCACGCGCCGTAGGCATCTGCCACGTAAGCGGAAGACAACGAAGCTCGTCAAGCGGTCGGCGTGCAATGGAGGGATGGCTGGCGGCGACAGGGGGGCACATAGATGTTCGGGGTCAGAGGGGGGGGGTGGGGGGGTCCATCGGAAAAACCCCGTACGATCCTTCACTTTACTCGCACCTGCCACCGCATCTTCAGCCGCTTCCCGACGACGATAATCGGGAGCCGCCCCCATCGACGTTCAACCTTGCTTACGGTTCCACGCAGTCCATATCGGACAGCACTTTGGGGGAAGGAAATCAACGACAGAGGAAGGGGCCAACGACGCCCCTTCTGTTGTCTGGCCTGCAGCAGGGGATGAGCCCAGCCCTCGATCTGCAGTTGTCTTCGGGGGTGAGGCCTGCCGCGACAGCAACAGTCATTGTCAATGCGGTCAGCCGTTCGGAGGGTGACACATCGGTCGGATTTGAAGGTCGTCGCAGCAGTGCTCCAAGGGTGCAGCAATCCGGTGCACCAAATAACAACGCCATCCAGGCTAGTAGAACTGCCACACGACCAACGGTCGGGGCTCGAAGCAGTGGAGGTGCGGCAAAATCGGATACTCGACAGGCGAATGTTGTGGAGCACATCATCACACAAGTGTCCACAACGCGTGCCACCACTGACGGGGAGGCTGGTGTAGACGGGGGTGCGGACTGTGAAGTCGTGGAAGAGGCGGCGGACTGCGTCAATGAAGATGAAGATGGCGTCGAGGAAGAGTAGCCCTGGCTGACGCCGAAGAGCCAAAAGAGGATGATGGCGAAGAAATCTGCTCCAAAGGGGCGGGGGAAGGGGAAGGCCAAGGAAAGGGGGGGTGAGGGCGGTGAAGGAAGGATTATATGGAGTTTGGATGACTCTATCACCCTCGTCCGATGTAAGAGGGGGCAGGATGAGGCACTCGTGGCGGCAGGCCACGACTTCGTACGGATGAAGAACAAACAGTGGAAATGGACTGACATCACAAATAGGATGGGGGCACAGGGGGTGAACTCTATCACCCTCGTCCGATGTAAGAGGGGGCAGGATGAGGCACTCGTGGCGGCAGGCCACGACTTCGTACGGATGAAGAACAAACAGTGGAAATGGACTGACATCACAAATAGGATGGGGGCACAGGGGGTGAACCATGATTGGGACGTGTGCATGAAGAGATGGGAGAATATTTTCTCCTGGTACAAGAAGGTGCAAAGGAGGGAGAAGGAATCCGGGTTGCAGTCCTTCATGCTGACGCCGAAAGAATGGGCAGATACTGGGTACAAGTTCCAGATGGATCGCCGACTTTACGAAGCCATCCATGGTGGTCAGCACGGGAACCAAACCATCCACCCCCCAAATCTGGTGGACACAAGCCCTTCTCAGCAGCAGGCTGCGAGCGATGGCGGGACGGGCGAAACTTCCGTGAGTGAGAATGGCGATGGCGATGGCGGGGAAGGGTTCAAGAGCAGGTAGTCGCACGGGTGCAAGTTATGGAAGAGGAAAAACGCTCGACAACAGGCTTTTGAGGCAGTGACGGATGTGATGAACACACACTCCACCGTTGTTGCCAATTCAGTGGACAACGCCAACAAACGACAGTGCGAGGTCCTCCAATGACAATGCGATGTAATGGAGAGGGAGGTTAAAGTGCACGAGACGGAGTGCGGTGTTATGGATGTGGGCCAGCGGATGTTGTGCAAAGTTTTGATGAAGATTGCGGAGACACTTTCCAGGCCTTGGTTGACACTCTCCCGTCGGTGTTGAGGGCGAGGGGGGGTTCGGGTGAGGTTGTCTCAACAACTGTGCCCTTCACTGGGGGTGGGTGTCTCCAACCCACCCCTACAACCTCTTGCTAGGACAGGGATGAAATCGTGAATGCTTTGGTTTATTTTCTTGAAATCTTCCTTCTTTTTTTTTTCTCGGTTCCTTTTTTCTTCCATCTCTTGAATGGCTTTTCCACTGAATCCGTCCGAGATTCCGGTTATAGTTCAGCCCGCCAATTCTACAGCAGCGGTACAATGATGGCCCACCGACACAAACCGGGCATGCACGCCGCCTCCCGCCTGTCTATGTATATGGCGGTGGAAGAGCCAGTATTGAAGGTGTTGTCTGGGCACACTCCGCAAATACGATCACATTGTGGTCTATGACGGTTGTCACCATGGTTTGGGGGCTTAGTGAGTTGTCGACAGACGGGTAGGGGTCAATCATTTACCAGCGCGCCTGGATTCACATCTGATTGTTCACAACCGGCCGGCCATTGTACCACTCGGATGGATATCGTACCTACATGTCGCGAGGTTGTGCACAGGCGGACTGTCGTTTTTACGAGTTCCGCCATAGGAGAGGCAATGCACATGAAAGGGTTATGCCATTATGGAGGTCAACCCTCCCGTCATGCGGGAATAATTTCGGCATCACGAAGTGGATGCGAATGGAGCCACATGTCTGGCGGTGACTGTGGGGTTCAGATACACTCGGTGGTTGTTGCGCCACGCCATCATGTACGTGACGAGGGTCGGAACGGCGGTCCCCATAGGGTGGACCGAAGGAGTGGACGTGTTGGGGGAGATGGTGCGCATGCTAGTTTCAAACTACTCATTGGAGTTTTGTGACCGCCTACACCAGCCAACCAATTACAGGGTGTTACTTGACGCGCCTTTCGCGGAGAGAGACGACCTGGTGGGGGACATCGAAGTCCTGAGGGACCATTTTTTTGGACACGTGTCTCATTTTTAGCACTGTCAAATTCGTCGCCCACCAGCCCTTGACATTGAATGAAGTCCGTGTGTGTGTGTGTGTGTGTGTGTGTGTGTGTGTGTGTGTGTGTGTGTGTGTGTGTGTGTGTGTGAGAGAGAGAGAGAGAGAGAGAGAGAGAGAGAGAAGAGTATGATTAATAACGATTACAAACTCTTTGATTTCGCAGCGCTTTCATGGCAACTTCTCGTTCTGTTTGAATAAAGATTACTGTTCCGCTTCGTCGTTGACAAACCTTTCGTAATCACCTCAGTTAGCTATGGCATAGTCG